TAAGTTCAATTGTTCAGTAAGACGTACACTTCATTTTTTAATCTTTGTCTATTGCTGCTGAATACATTCTAACATGTTTTTCCTTTGACTAAATATATTACTCTTGTAAAAGAAGCATTATTTCAGAAACGTTTCCCACAACACTGAGATAAGCAAAAAATGTGATGAGATTTATGCATGTACTTCTTGATTTGAGAGATGCTGCAAGCTAGGAGAATATTGTTTGCTGTCTAGGCTGCCTTTTAAAAAAATCACATTCACTTGTGGTTTGTGGTGGGGGGGACTTTGGTGTCAATGTATCATTGAAATTGAATAAAGAATAGAATGGCAGGCCTCTATGAATTTGCTGTGGGACTGATTAGCTAATGGTAAGATCAGAATAACTTGAAAATTAAACCATTGGGAACCAATTGCATTTCACATGGAGTTGAATGCTCAGATTTTTGTTTTTGAAATTTCAGTTTCTGATGGATATTTACAAAACAGTATTATGTTTATACACAGCAAATGAAGATTTGGCCCCTTACATGAGAGCAATTTAAGACTTTTCTCTCATAAGATTCTATGGCACTAATCCCCAAATATGATAAACTTTTGGTATGAAAACATTTCATGTTAATATAATACATAGAATAAATTCCTAAGCATTTTCTAAGTCTTGACTATAAAATGCAAATCTCACTCCTTCGCTCTATGCCCACTACATAGATATGACTAAGGATGAAAAACAGGAGTCATTTTTGAAATCACATTCAATTTTTACTTTTACATAATCTCCCTTACCTCATTTTTCAAATGAAGGAGGAGGGTTAAAAAGGGAAAATTAATTATGGCTAATAAAGTTCTGATCGAATAGGAGGAATACGTTTTGAAATTTAATGTACAGGATGTAAACTATAGTTAATAAAAGCATATCATGTATTTCAAAACTGCTAAGAAAGTAAATATCAATAATCTCATCATAAATAAAAAGAATCAGTATTTGAAGCCACGAATAAGTTAATTAGATTAATCCCTTCACATGCAATACATATATTGTAATATTGCTTTAAACTGTTAAAATATATTCAATTCTAAGCCGTCATGATACAACAAAGTAATATTTAAAGTGAAGGGGAAAATAATTTTCATGAGATTACACGTTTTGTACATGTTTTGAACTCAAGCTCCACCTGCTTTTAACAATGCTTTCCCTTGAGTCTTACAAATAAGGGCAACCAATTATATAATAATTCATGCTTACACTTAGTATTGAAGAGGTCTCAGAAAAGAGCTGTAGACTCCAGTGAGTGGGAGGCTATGTTTCTGGGAACAAAGGAAGCTTGAGTAGAATTGGTTTACTAAGTGGGGTATTTTCCAGGTGTATGCAGTAAATAGCACATTGAAAGGCAGTGTCATGAGAGAGCCCAACTTATTGAGGGAAGGGCAAACAATTGCTATTCTTAGAATGTAAGAAGTACATATTCGGGTTGTATAATGAGAGCTGTAGGAGTGACAAAAGAGGGTGCTTGCTTACCTCTTTGTGAATTACCGTTAAAAAAAAAAAATGGGAAAATCCAGGCACCGGCCGCTCATGCCTGTAATCCTTGCTTCTCAGGAGGCTGAGATCACAGTTCATAACACGGGCAGGAGAACCCATGAGACTCTTACCTCCAATTCAGTACCTAAAAAGCCAGAGCAGAGCTATAGCTCAAGTGATAGAGCACTAGACTTGAGCAAAACAGGTAAGCTCAGGGTCAGCGCCTAGGACCAGCACCAGAAAAAAGAAAAGTTGGAAAATCAATATGCTGAAACAGGACATAATTAATATCAAAGTATCCACAGTATCTGAGTGGAGACAAAGTTATTCCCACCATGATTTTATTTATTTAACATTTAGAAGTAATATGAAGGTTATGAAGGTAGCTTTTAAAAGTGATTAATTTAACACTCACACACATGCAAATAGCCCTTTAGCTTATAATTGCTTTTGGTTGCTATTTAGATTACTGGGTTATAAAAAAAATGCTAAAATAGCAAGTTCCAATTTGATTCTCTTTAAGACACTGTAAGCTACAAAATATATCAGCTTTTTGAACCAAACCTTACTTTGCTTTGCCGTTCTCTGTACCCTCCCCCTTCCTAATCCTTATAACTCATAGATAGATTATTAGAGGGCCAATTGTGAATAAATAAGTAAATGAGTTGCTTAATTGACTGACAATCTTCAGTAGAACTCAATTTCACACGAAGTAACTAGAGGATTGTCTAATACCTCAAGGAAATCACTGCTGAACTGTTCCCTGGGATTAATTTAACATTCTAAGTGACTATGTTTCCACTGTTAACTTTTCATTTGACACAAATTTCAGATTTGATGATGTCCTATAATAAGGTAAATATACATCCTACTGGCTTTGGATATTTTTGGATGCAATACATAAAAGCAAACTAGAATCAAGAAATTGTGTGTGTTCCTTTATTAATTATGGTCAAGGAACCTCCCAGAAAACAACTCTTATAGAAAAACCAATGCATTCTGGTCTTCCAAAAGCAAATGATGGTACATTCTTCACTTTTTAACCAGACTTAAAATGGAAAAAAAAAAAAAAAAGCAAGAAAGAAAAGGAGGAAGAAGAAGGTAGGCCAGACACAGGTAGTTCTTACCTATAATCCTAGCTACTCAGAAGACTGAGATCTGAAGATCACAGTTCAAAGCCAGCCCAGGCAGGAAGTCCATGAGACTCTTATCTCCAGTTAAACACCAAAAATCTGGAAATGGAGCTCTGGCTTGTATGGTAGAGTACTAGCTTTATGCCATTAAAAAAAAAGAGGCTCGGAGACAACATTTCTGTCCTGAGTTCAAACCCCAGGACCAGCACAAATAAAGAAGAAGAAAAAAAAAGAAAGGAAGAAGGATGAAAGGAAGAAAAGGGGAGGAAGAGGAAAGGGTAGAAGAAGAAGAAGAGGAGGAGGAGATGGAGGAGGAGGAGGAAAAGACATCATCAGGCATCTACTTGGTCTGAAATTAACTATATGGTGCACATGAGAATCTCATTAGGTAACCTAAGATGCCATTTGCCAATGGGGACTTGAGAAGTTAGGAGTCCAAATCACGCACTGGTATTTATTCTGTGCTAAATGTGTTGAACACAGTTGGTAGGCATGAAATAGCTGAGTGCAGCAGGTCCTGTACAGAGAATGATAGATAAACATCATCTATTTGTTAATGGTAGCGATGTTTTCACTTTCCACTTGAATTAAAGTATCCTCTTTCTTGCTGTGGTTCACAGTGACAATCTAAGAATCTTTAAAAAGGCTATCATGTGGATCCACTGCAATACACTGAAGGAAAAAGATGCTAAGTAAAACTATATCCATTGTAAAATAAAGATAAAAAGTGAATGGCTCTTATTTATTTTGAGAGTAAATCAATGACTGTTAGATTATTATATAATAATAGGATTCATATATTAGACATAAACATAAATATATAGACTTATTAAATATTAAAATTATGTTGGTCCTTAATTGTAATAGACTAGCAAAATGTATTTTGTGTCACATATATCAGATATAATCAAAAAAACTCACACTAACTGAAATATTCTCAATCAAATTTGGCATAAGACATAAGCCATAAGGTATTAGATAAGAGAGAACAGCTCAATATTAAAATGAGATGCAATCACAGCTTTATCGGAACATGCTCTGGATAGTAATTCCTGGGCCTTGAAAAGGAATAGACTCTGTTAAATTAGGTAGAGAAGACAAAATTATTCTAGTCAAGGACAAAGGAACAAAACCTTGATAATCTAGTACTTGCACAATCAAACCTTTTTTGGCCTAATTCAATCACAGTGTAATTGGACTTTCCCAAAATACATTCAGGCTCACCAGAAGGACTTATACAACTCATGAAACCTGTGGTGTTCAAAGTTGTCATTTATTACATGAAAGAAGTCAGTTAAATTTAGCCATGGAAGAAAGACTCATAGAGTAGAGCTCAAGAGGCATAGACCGTGCACAAGTTCCCAGTTCTCAGTAACATCAAATAGATAGCTTTCTTAATTCTCCCAGCCACATGGGGTGACAATATACAAGCGTTGACTGCCATGAAAATTCACACCAAGTCTTGGTGACCAGGGTCTTCATGAGGCTCAGGCCCAGGTGAAGAAACTATAATATTCATAATAAGTCATATTGTCAGGCTATGGATTGTAGCTCTGTGGTAGAGCATTAGCCTACCATACACAAGGCTCTGGGTTCCATCCCCAGTACCACAAAAGTAAACAAAAAAATAAAAGTAAGCAAATCATATTGTTAGCATAAACTGTCTTAGTATATTGTTACCAGGCAGGATATTACAGGATCTAAGATATTTCAGTTCTCCTAGGACCTATTTAAAAATACTTCAGAATGCTAAGCTAACCCTTAACTGCACAATAAGATGTTGATATGGCTTTTTTTAATGTACATTTTTTATTGTAAAGCTACTGTACAGAGGGGTTACATGAGTAAGGTAATGAGTACTTTTCCTATCGAGCATAGTTACCCCCTCCTTTGTTTTTCTCCTAAATAATGAATATATATCTGAAGTCGTGAAAATGGTGCAAAATATTGTCTGTATTGACTTGTTTTAATGATGGATGGGGAATGTCTTGAGATTTTTTCAGATTTCTTTATTCTTTAGAATAAAAACAACCAACTTCAGAGAATAGCAATTGCTCATAACCTTTGTGCAGAAGTCCTGTCACTCCATACAATGCGACCAACCTCAGCAGAGGGAGACCTTGCCCTGTGTGACCTTAATACTGTGACAGACTAGGAGAGATAATTCAGTAACACAGTCAGTGTCCATTCAGTAACACTGTGTCCTCCAGTCACCGGCCCTGTGGACGGAAGTTGATGTGCTGAAACTAAAAGTTTGAAAAGTAGATACTTACCAACCTTTTTGCTTTTTCTTTTCATTTTTCCCTTCGCTGCTTACTTGCTGAACTACAAATGGGTCTTCTTCGAAGATGTTCCAGTGGATTCGATCGCCATCGACAGGACTGGGTAGACAGTGGATGTCCTGAAGAGGTACATGTGTGCTCCATTATCATAAGATTCCTAGAACTAAGCTGTCATCTGTTGTTGATACAAGTTAATGGAAAGCTTATCTACTTTAGTCAAAATTAGGACCCTTGATGTGCGTTAAACATTGGGGTCAATGACATAGACGACAGATAGATAGGTAGGTAGGTAGATAGATAAATAGATAGATAGATATCACTTATAATATAAATGTATCTGTCCTGTGAGGTAGGTGCTATTATTACCAAGAAGAGAAGAAGGTGGGGGAGAAGGCAGTGAGAGATGTGGAAAGTGATTCTCGGATTGTTTGGAACCTGCCTATGGAGTAGGAGAGTCAGGGTAGGAAGCTCCAAGCAAAACATAGTTCTTCTAAATACTTGCTGCTTTTCTACCATCAAAGAAACACTTCTTCCACTTCTTAGCACAAATAACAAAAGCAATTATATAGGAGAGAAGACGGATGGCTACAGCCAGTGTGCTATGTAAGGCATGACAGTATGACATAGCTGCCCCCTCGGGACATGGCCTAATGTCCACTCCAAAGCAAGCAGGATAAACTCGATCATACCATGGTTCAAGCAATGGCATGTTGTTCCAACAGCAATTTTCACCAGTTTAGATTTTCCAGGGAATTCTATTTACACATTTATTCCAAAGTCACCTGGAGCTTCTCCTTGCTTCATGAGGGAAAAGTGTTTCTTCCTTCTCCCATTATTAAGTTGTAAGGCCTAATTTTTCAGCAAATATTATAAATCATCCCGCCAGCTTTCTCAGTCAACAAAGCAAATCTTGGTCAAGTGCTATTTTTAAAAACTCTGAGGAGTTCAGTGGTTACTTGAAACTTGTAAATTTTCACTTGTGGGGGAATGTTTCATGAAAATCCTGAAAAATACTAAATTTAAGAAGCTTCCTGATATTAGATGTGGTGGTACACTCCTTTAATCCCAGCAGTGGGCAGGGTGAGATGGGAGGATCATTTGAGTTGAGGAATTAGAGTAGCCTGGAAAACGTAGTATGATGCTATCTCAAAAATAATTAAATAAAATTAGATCCAAAAGCATTTGTGTATATAAACTGCTTTATTGAATGGTAACTCCTTTGAACCATAATTTAATGATAATAAAAATATAAGAAATAAATAAATGAAGCCAAAATAGCACTCTTGAATATAAGGTATTGCAAATACACCTTCAATCAACTCTTTCCATTCTATTGGGAAATTACAGTAGTACATACGAACCCTTCATTCTCATTTCTCTAATCTAACAATGCAGTTCAGAAAGAAAACTACATTGATAAAGTATGAATATGTTTTCATATCATAGTGGCTTTTATTTAATAGAAGTCTAAAATGGCCTGACACTGGTAGCTCACGCCTGTAATCCTAGCTACTCAAGACACTGAGGGTAGTGGTTCAAAGCCAACCCAGGCAGAAAAGTCTCCGTGAGACTCTTATCTCCAATTAACCAACTCAAAAACCAGAAGCGGTGCTGTGGTAGAGTACTAGCCTTGAGCCAAAAGAGCTCAGGGACAGCAACCAGACCCTGAGTTCAAACCCCATGACCAGAGGGGAAAAAAATCCAAAATTATAAAAATGTTCCAAATACTGGATGCTAGTGGCTCATGCCACTAATTACTACCTAATCCGGAGGCTGAAATTTGGAAGATCTCAATTCAAATCCAGTGTGTGAAGAAGTCTTTGAGAAAAGCATGGTGAAAACCTCACTCAAGTAGTGTAGCCACAGCTGACCATTCAAGCTCAGTGACCGCAAGGCTTTGAATTCAGTCCTCCACGCGGGCCAAAGATATATTCACAATGAATGTCTTTACTTCATAAAGATTTAGAATGTAATTCAGACACTTAATTTTTCACTCCAGCATGGTCTTACTATGAGCCGTGGAAAACAGAGGAAGCTGTGGTATTATAAGCCTGACCAGGAAGATCTGTGGAGAAGTTACTGTGTTCAGTGGACTGTGCTAACCACTAAAACTACACAGATAAATTTAAATATTCTCCCTGCTCCCAAGTAACTCAGAATCTATTGAATACTGTAGCATTCAGTGTTTCTCTTTTCCTTCTATAATTAAGTTACCAGCAACTTTATTTCTAGCTTGATGGAAAGCAATTCTTTTCTTATGCAATAGATAAGTAAACACATTCATCTATTCCCATCCAGTTTTTGTACCTGAGGCGAGGGTTAACATTTCTTTTTCATACATACTGTCAGCCGAATCCATTTGATCGGTATAATGAGCACCTACTGTTTATGCTTAAGAAGCGGAGTCACTGTACAAAGACTTGCTTGAATCCAGTGAGAAAGAAAGCCTAACTAACCACATGTTCCATGAAGCAGGCTGTGTTCCAAAGACAGGCAGAAAGGCACAATGATAGCCTAGAGTTCACTGTGGTCCACACCCTGTAAGAGTCGCAAGAGCTTCCCAAGGCAGATAGAGTTCCATCTGCAGGAGTCCACTTGCAACCCAGCTGAAGAGACCGAAGGAAGTCAAGATGTCCCTGAGACTGGCTGGACGAAAGCATTGAAGGGCATTCTCTTTCTAGGAGGAATTGAAATCGAGCAAAGCTCTTGGGGTCAGTGCCTCCCTGCGTATTGAAGTTGATGCATTTCTCAGCACATTCTTTCTCCACTCTTGGCAACTGCAAGTGAGAAAAGGTGGTGAACTTGGAGAACTGGATCTGCCCAAGGCCAGGGGTTCTTACAACATAGTAAACACTGATCATTTAAACCTAAGGAATAAGCCAGGTGCCAGTGGCTCATGCCTGTAATCCTAGCTACTCATCCTGAGTATGGGGATTAAAAGCCAGCCTGGGAAGAAAAGTCTGTGAGACTCTTATCTCCACTTAATCACCAGAAAACTGGAAGTGGCGCTATGGTTCAAAGTGGTAGAGCTCTAACCTTGAGTGAAAAAACTCAGGGACAGTACCCAGGCCCTGAGTTCAAGCCCTACAACTGACTCAAAAAAACAAAAAGCAAAAAAGGAGAAAGTCTAGTTAGATCAGATAGGCCATTATGTCCAGCAGAATAGTCTGGACTATCTAGCTGTTCAAAAGCAGAGTAACCACAAGTGAACTGTCTTGTTAAGTAAGAAAACAGAAGATAATGTTTAAGGTGAAGTCTGAAGAGCAATTTGAATAAAAAAGCCAGAAGATAACAGATGAGATTGGGGAGGTGAACAGTTTCCTGCATGTGACACATGGAAGGAATATGCCTCTCCTAAGCACAAGGCAACGCTGTCTGAATGGTTTGATCAAGGGGATAATACCGAAATGACTTATTGGGAAAATCACCCTGGCCTCCTCTAAGGCACAAGGGGTGATTGTGTTGAATGTAGTTCTAACCCAGTTTGGTGATCTGAACCGAATCAGTGGGGAGAGCTGGTGAGGGCAATGGTGGTGGTAGTGGTGGTGGAAAAAAATGAGGTAGTTGGTTGAATGCAAATAGTAAGAAAATATTTTAAATTCCTCTTCTCTTTTATATTCCTTTTAAGCGTTTTTTAACTTTTTCCATCTTTAATGTAATTTTGATGCCCAGTGAAAAAATGAAGATGTGATCAAACAGACTTGATATATTAGATTGTGTATGCAAATAATATAATGTAACCCCCCAAATCCTTGGTTCATTAGAAGTCATATAGGTGAATCTGATCAAATTATGTGCATGCCAAAAATATTACAGTGAAACCCCTCGGTACTATTACTTTATACTTATAAAACTTTTTTGGGGGGGGTCCGGTCGTAGGGCCTGAACTCTGGGCCTGGGCACTGTCCCTCAGCTCTTCAGCTCAAGGCTAGCGCTCTACCACTTGAGCCACAGTGCCACTTCCGGCTTTTTTCTTTTTTGCTTATGTGGTGCTGAGGAATCAAACCCAGGGCCTAATGCATATAAGGCAAGCGCTCTACCACTGAGCCACCTTCCCAGCCCATAAAACATTTTTTTTTAAAGAACTTGAATTATCAATGACTCAGAAGCAGGATTTTCTTTCGTTCTATTTGTATGCCTTCCTATCCCTATTAAAAGTAAAACTATTCTGAGTTTCAGATTTATCAATAAAGAATTTGGTTTATTCTCTTACTAGTGTTGTTTTCTGTGGTGGTATATAATTCTTCCTTTTTTTTTTGTAGCTCCATATTCTGTGGTTGGAGTATATAATTCATTTACTTGACAAATATTGGTTGTATGCTCATGATGTGCCAAGTACCTTTTAGTTACTGGAATGTAGTAGCAAGGAAATTAAAAACAAACAAAAACCTACCAAGCTCTACCTTCCTAAAATTTACCCTCTCATAATCAGATTTTCCCCACGCTGCCTTTTTTTATTGGACATTGTTTCCAAAGTTTTGCTATTACTTAAAACCTTATGCATGACTCCTGAATTAAATGTATAGAAGTTTCTCTCATGACCCTAGAACCAGAATTGCGGAGCACCAGTTAGAAAAATGTGCAGTGTTGAAAAGTAATACTGGATTGTTTTTGATTCATGAATTGTATGTATGTGGGCTGTCCCTGAGCTCTCTAATTGCCTTTCTTTTATCCAAGAGATAAAAGGTGAGCCCCAAGTGTAAAATTAAGAGAATCATTGTGGGATGGCAGTTTTGATTAGAGCAGAAGTGGAGAAATTGCCTCTGAGGACAATGGGAAAGTAGATGAACCAAAGTACAGCCAAGTTGCATAGTCAGCCGAGCTAATGGGCACAGGAGATGAATCTATGGAGCTGGGTTAGAGGTGGTGGTGAGTAATTCTCCACGCACCCTTACCTTTTAACTGACCTGGCGGGATGGGTCTTTTACTTTAGAGAGTATTAAAAATTAGCAAAAAAAATTAGACTAAAATTGCTTAAAACGATGAGAGCAATTGGAATGATGAAAAATAAAGCAAGAAGTTTATTGGGTTTGAATGTTCTGAATAGTCTAAGATAAAAAGAATCTGAATGGATAGACTGAAGTAGGAAAATTGAGCTTGTGTTTTAAGTACTAAAGCATTTACTGATGAGGCTAAGGTCTCAGGTGTGGGGAGGATATGAATGTGGGGTCAGAGAGGTGATCCACAGCCTTTGGTGCTAAGACCTGATCCTTGTAGGTTGGAGTTTTCAATGGAGGAAGAGAATACACTTTTCCTTCATATACCTGAACATAATTTAAACCTCATTTAGTTACAAGTTTCTCTTCTAATTTTAACATTGTTTTTGTTTGATATTATGTCTTTTATAAATATATGTATATAAAATTTAAGGCAAGCTGTATAGTAATATGAAAGAATAACACAAAAAGCAAAAAGAAACGTAAATATGCTAAGGTAGCACACTTTGTTACAGCTCTTTTTTTCTCTCCTTGTAAGTTTTTTTGTTGGTGGTTATGGGAGTGGGAGTGGGGCTTGAATTCAGGACCTGGGCATTATCCATGAGCTTTTTCACTCAAGGCTAGTGTTCTACCATGTTGAGCCACAGCACCATGTCTGGTTTTCTGGTGGTTAATTGGAGACAAAAATCTCACAGACCTTCCAGGTCTGGGCTGGCTGTGAACTACCACCCTCAGATCTCAGCATCGGAAGTAGCTAGGATTGCAGGGGTGAGCCCTAGCATCCGGCTTTATAAACTTTTTGAATTAGCAAAATTCATAAATATAATCTGACACAAAAATAACATACCTGCCATCTCTTGTGCTTTACAATCCAGTTTCTAGGATATAAGTTTGAAAACTAGGTCCTCAGTTTACTTTCTGTTGTGTGTCTCTTCCTAGTCAAAAGAGAAGATGTGTGAGAATGTGGACTCGGTGGAACCTTCTCAAACCACCACAACTATACACACAACAGCCACCCAATTCAGAGTCTTAACCACCACGAGGAGAACAACCACATCTCAGCTGCCAACCAGCCTGCCCACAGAAGGTACTCATGAGATAGTTGGCTTTTTCCCCCCAAAGGTTGAGAAAATCTCTGTACTGACAAATAATATATATATACACACACTATATATAAAACATATATAGTATATATTAATATTTATGCTAATATATGTACATATATATAAAATGATGATTTTCAGGGAGAAAATTGTTCTTTGGGAAGTTGAATTTCTAAGAGATTTCTAAAAGAGGGAAAGGCAAAAATTTTCATGGGCTGATATTATATGCAGGAATTCATTTCATGAATTTATTTGAAAGCTGTTACCGCTGATCTGACTTTCGTCCTCCCTAGTATTTGTTAGATTCTCAACACATTCGAAGTCATAGAATAGAAGGGAAAATGTGTATTGAATGCCTATTGATTTTGAATTCTGAGCCACAGATAATTCTACTCATATAGGTTTCTTATGTTTCCTGAATGTACTCAATAAAATATTATCCTGTAACCATGCAGAAGGATGCACATCACAATATTGTTCTTTTAAAAGTATTCCTCAGCTGGGATCCCATGGCTCACGCCTGTAATCCTAGTTACTTAGGAGACTGAGTTCAAAACCAACCCAGGCAGGAAAGTCCATGAGACTCTTATCTCCAATAAACGACTAGAAAACAGGAAATGGCGCTGTGGCTTAAGTGCTCACCTTGAGCTGAAGAGCTGAGGGACAGCGCCCAGGCCCAGAGTTCAAGCCCCAAGTCCAACAACAACAAAAAAAAGGTGTTCCTCAGCCAAGTGCTGCTGGTTCACACCTGTCAGAAGTCTGAGATTTGAAGATCTCAATTCAAATCCATCCCAAGCTGGAGTCCAGAAGGCTCCATTTCTCATTAACCAGTAAATGCTACACTAGAGGCATGGTTCAAGCGATACAGTGCCAGCCATGAACATGATACCCTAAATTCAGGCAATTCATGAGGGAAGAATGTATGTTAGTCAGTATGTGATAACTTTCTAACCTGAATGGTACCACTAGGAAGTAGGTGGAAGTAGGTGGAAATATGACAATGATTTCCCATGAGGAAACCTTGGAAAAAAATAGTCATACCTTCATTGCCATAAGCCAGGAATTTAAACTTGGAGCCTGCCCTTTTATTTTGAAATATAATTGAATGTTGGAAGGTTCATGGAATAAATTGAGAGGGAAGGCAAGTGCCAACTGTACTTTATTGCTTTTAAAAGCAACATTGTACTTAAATTCATATTATTTGAGATTATTACATTAAGTCCATGGAAATATTCTTATAACTGAAACCCTACTCTTCGGAATGAATATAACCAGACAAGAAAAAGCAAATCTTATGGAACTGTTTAAATCAAGAACAAGATCCTTTCACCAATGATTTTGGCCATTTATGTTATTATGGAAAAAAAGAATTTTAAGTTTCAAACTTTAGTGAATTTGCTGAATTTTCAAATGTTGATGACTTACAATCTGTAATGTTCTTAATCTTGATTCTTTACAAATGAATAAATTACAGCATAACTATAGAATGGGTAAAAATCAATGTACTTAATATTGTAACTATTTCTCTTTCTCACAAAGGTTAGGATCTTTCACTAAATTCTTTGTCTTAACAATCTCTGCAAGAACTCTGATGCTTACTGTATCACGTAAAAACTAGATCTAGCTCTGATTGAGCTAGATTTTGTCTGAAAATATGACCAAAATCTTGTCATGTCACAACTGCGGAAATTCATAGACAATAAGGGACCATGAGCTTTATATACTTTTAAAATCTGATTTGTGTTATATAATTATTTTAAATTTCTCTTCCAGATGACACCAAGATAGCGCTACATCTCAAAGATAATGGAGGTAGGAAGTAACACTTCTCTTTTATATACTTTTTTTTTTAATTTTATTTTATTTTATTTGAGAACATACTGTACAGAGGGGTTACAATTACATGGGCAGGATAATGCATACATTTCTTACCAAGCATTGCAGCCTCCTCCTTTGTTTACCCTTCACCTCCCTTCCCAGCCTCCCCCCTCCCTCCCACCCAATCATACCCCTCCCCCACCGACATTGTAAAGCTGGTTTTGACATGACATTTTGTACTTCTCATTGTTGCAACAGGTCCACCTGAATCCTTAAACGACTTGTTTGTCCCCATCTCCTCCACATGTTATACTGACGTCAAATATAGTGAAAGCGGGGGTTACACTGTGGGGGAGGGACATACAAAGCAACAAAGAAATAATCTTATAAATGCGTTAGAAACACATGCATGAGAGAAACAAAAACATTAAAATACATATTTGAGGTTTCGTTTTCCTAACATCACATTATCTGACTTTTTCCGCTTGACTCATACCTATACTAGATATTGCAAATTAAAAAATTCATTCTTTTGATATAACAAAAAGCATATGGCCTTGGGCTGGGAAGGTGGCTCAGTGGTAAAGCAATTGCCTTGCATGCTCAAGGCCCTGGGTTCGATTCCTCAGCACCACATAAGCAAAAAGAAAAAAGCTGGAAGTGGCGCTGTGGCTCAAGTGGTAGAGCGCTAGCCTTGAGCTGAAGAGCTGAGGGACAGCGCCCAGGCCCAGAGTTCAGGCCCACGACCGGACCCAAAAAAAAAAGCATATGACCTCTCAAGTAGAAAGTGTTTTGTTTTTCATTTGTGTTGGTGTTTAACATGGGAAGAATTACTTGGGTTGGCTAGAAAGTAAAAGTCTAATCCTTGTGCCAGAAAGGAAGTAGAAAAATTCATACATCTTTCATTATCTACATAGCTGCAGGTACTGGTTCAAGTGTTTTCTCACTGAGTTGAGTGAATGATCAATATGTGTTATATATGACATTAAGAAATAATACAGTAAGTATGGAAACATACTACACTAGGTCTTTTCAAAATCTGTTCTGGGAAGCAAAGGACAAAAATTAAATATTCAAGAGAACATCCTGTTAGTGACAGATTTAATGTTTTACTAAGATGATTTGGAAATATCTGTACTGGTACTTGAAAATTTGAACAAGAAGTCTTTAACAAACCAATACAGTGAGGTTGTGTGTGTGTGTGTGTGTGTGTGTGTGTGTGTGTGTGTGTGTGTGTGTGTGTGTGTAGTTTTATATACATACCATGATATGTATAACTATATATCTAAAACTGGGACACATATAGCTATATAATAACTATTATATATGTAACTATATATAAACTATATATACCCTGATATTTTGGAATTCTGGTGGCTATTGTTTATATTATCTAATATAAACATTATAATTATATATTACATTATGTACAATATAATTATATATAATATAATTATATAGCATATAATATAAATATTATGATTATATGTAATATATAATAAAATATTATATATAATATGAACAATAACCACCAGAATTCCAAGTAATTATAATGTTTATATTAGATAATATAAACCATAGCCACCAGAATTCCAAAATGTCATGGTAATACCAAACTCTTTCCACATCTTTTTTTAAAAGTACTTTTCTTAAAACCATTGTAATGGGGCTGGGAAGATGGCTCAGTGATAGAATGCTTGCCTGGCATTGCTGAGGCCCTGGGTTCAATTCCTCAGCACCACATAAGCAGATAAAGCTGGAAGTGATGCTATGGCTCAAGTGGTAGAGCTCTAGCCTTGAGCTGAAGAGCTGAGGGCAGCGCCCAGGCCCAGAGTTCAGGTCTATGACTGACAAAAAAGAAAAGAAAAGTAAAGAAAATTGAAATGCAATTTGGCCACCCTATCTAAGGAGATTTAAGATACGTTTCTGCAAAAAACTATAGCTTGGTGCTGGAACTCAATGGTAGACTGCTTGCTTAACATAACCAAAGACTTGGGTTTGATTTCCAGCTCTGCAAATCAGAGAAAAAAATGACTTAGGAAAAATTATGCATTACTCTTCATTGCACCCTTGCCTTTTCCTTTATGAAATGTGGGCATTTGGGAAGGATCACTACGTGTAGTAAATTAGATATCTTGATTTAACTTCTCAATTTGCTTGGCTGTCTCTAAAATCCTTTTAATTTAGAGATCATTGCTCTTCTAGGAAAATGGTGGAAAATTTTCAAAACAGTCAATATGTAGCTAGAAATCAATGCCTCTGACATTCTATAAATTGTATTGTTTAAGTATTGCCTTAACCTCAGCTCCAAGTCTTTCTGGTAGTTGATTTTCTTAGTGGAATCCACAGCTGGTCTGATTATGTATTCCCTTTCAAGGAGATGTTTTTCTTTTGTCTTCAATATCAAAGCATAACATATTTCTGAGCAGCTAAAGACCAAAGCCATAGCACAGGGTTTTTCACTTAGAGGGCCTAGACTGAGACACAGCCTGTTAAGTGGTTCTCCATGAATCTTCAATTCCATATTGAGTTCCCTACTGTCTGGACATTGAGTTTAGGTAGAACCTTCAGGGTTGAATAGAAATTTGAGGTTTTTTTGAGTAGTTTGGAGAAAATATCATAAATAAATCTAAACAATAGGAATTCAACCTAATATGTGCAGCCTCCCTTAGATATAACCTAATTAACCATTACTAATAACTAAAATTTTGAAAACTCAGAAGCTCCGATTTAAGGACTAGATTTTATCTCCAACTGCGTTATCACTGGTTATTTTCCTAGAATATTACATCAAAATTTAAATACCTTATGCAAGCCCAATGTTCAAACTTTTTCTTTTTTATAAGAACAGAGAGAGTAGGGGTGGGTAGAAGAAAGAGGAATAGTTGTTGATTGATTCCTGTTTCAAGCTCTCTTCTAAGTGCAGTAGATGCATTAACTTACTTAATTTGCAATACCCTCGAGTTGTTTTATTATGATTTCCATTATTGTGAGTAAAAGGTACACAGAGGTTAAGGTTGTATATAAATGTATTCAGCCTGGATGCAAACTCCAAGTCTTTATTGTTTATCCATTTTAGGAAAAATCTCTTACCATCAAAGGCCACTGTAGTAGGGACAAGAATAAGCTATCTTATTTACCCTCCTATATTCATTTTCCTCTTCTGTAGCACCTGCTTATACTTCTGTGTTTGAAAATGGCATCTCCTTCACTCATGTAATTATGTATAAGTTTCCACTTGGTCCTTAACTATGAAAAATCACAGTTGCATTAATTCTCCTGTGAAATTGAGTCATGTCAGAGTCATTGGCATATGGTCTTCAAACACAATGTACTGTATAGTTTATTCCACAATCTAAAGTGATTCGGGCCTTCTTGGTTTCCCTAGAAATTTAGGTTTAATTCACTTGTAAGGAGCACGTATACTATATTCTTTAATACACTGTGCATGTGGATAATAGCTAGGTGTAGTTCAAGCAACATCTTTTGAGCTCTCTAATCCTAGAGATCGCTTATTAGAATTATTTGTTAAGAATGACTTTAACTATATATTTCATCATGCCCTTAAGACATGCCCTCTATGACATCCCAATAGATTACTTTCAGTGGCATTCGCCACCTGATTAGAAATGTATCTTCAAAATGCAAACTGAATCAAGTTACACCCAAGGCTGAGAGGTTTGCAAGCTGAATCAATGGTGAGGGTTCTTAATTTAGAGAAAATGTTACCACCAGATTCAACTCAATTTAGCAAATTAAACTGTGCCATTCTGTTACAATGCAGATGTTAAAATTTTATCTCAATCTCAAAAATCTTCAAGGGATTTTATTATTTCAAATTTGTTGAGCTAGGTATCAATGAACCAGAATTTTTTAATAGAATGCTTTTGAGATTTTCCCCTTAGATTAAATTTCTTTGTAAAAGAGAGTGTGAACATAAATCCTTAGTTACTAACATTTAAAATGATCAGTATTACAGAAAAGCAGGTAATTGAACCCAGGTAATTCTGTGATTCTCCATTTTTATTTTATTTTTTTGTCGATCATGGGGCTTGAACTCTGGGCCTGCGAGCTGTCCCTGAGCTCTTCAGCTCAAGTTAGTGCTCTACCACTTAAGACACAGTACCACTTCCGGTTTTTCTGGTGGATTATTGGAGATAAGAGTCTAATGGACTTTCCTGCCTGAGCTGGCTTTGAGCCATGATCCTCAGAGCTCAGCCTTCTGAGTAGCTAGGATTACAGGTATGAGCCACTGGTACCTAGTCCTTTTTCAATTTTTTTATTGCTAGGAATTTTACCAAATTTGAACACTAGATGTCTGCTTTCTTTTTTTTCTTTTAATAGGAGGCTGTTGTCTTCATTAAGAAGATGTGACTTTTGTACCATATGATTAAGTGAATTTAGAAGTACAATCTCAGGTGATTGATTTCAAAGAGCAAACAGACACTTTGAATCTTGTATGGAGTGGCTATCTTAAATTCTAATTCTGTAACAGTTACTTTCTTATTTCTTAACCTAACCTAAAACTTTCACCCAAGGATAAAATATTGGAAATTTTGTGTTTCAACTTTTTCATCAAAATGATACTAAGGTTTTATTTTATTTCATGCTCTGTAGTGTCAGATCAAATGTCTATGAGTCCACTGATCATTCAATTGAATTATTTTTCTGACTTTCATACATAAATGATCAAAACAATGTATCTTTTAGTCTTTTTTCCCCTTACCTTTCCTTGTTATTTCTTATCTACTTCTTTTGTGTGAAACATGGTCTTAAAAGCAAAAGGAAATGGTTATTTCTTCTTGACAGGCGATTGAATATCTATCATTTTCTGTTTCTAAAGCCATAAAATATCCTGGCATTTACTTTTAGCCTTTGCTTCATTTGGCTACATTTCATGTTAGTGCTAACTCTATTCTCAGTTCATCTATACTATAATAGTGAAAAATTCTTATGCCTTAGAATACTCTCAATTTTCCCCAGGAATAAGGACT